GCTTGAATCTGTGAATATTGAGTTTATTGACGCACGCGATTAGTCAATATATTAGGAAATGCCAAATATATGCGCGCGGAAGTTAATTACAGATGATTAAATTTCTAAAATTCTATTTTAGACGCTCGATTATTGACGCACGATTAGTCAATATATTAGCAAATATATGCGTACCGTAATCTCCCGTACCGGCTTGAATATAGACACCCCCACTGTTCATCGCAAAGAGACTTAAGCACGTGACCCAATCTCACCCACCTGATTGGTCGGGTTCTTGCGTCCTGGTAGTTTACACGGTGCGTTTTGGACGTATGCGTCTGACTGATGCGACAGACGTACGTCTAGGACGCATCGTGTAAATAGGCCTTGAGAGTGAAGAGGAGAAACAGAAAAATTGTGCCTATTGTGCAGAATCATTTTCCTCTCCTGTACCAATCTGCTAGTACAATTTATTGGTAAATCTTCTATGAACATGTGCACGCACGCACGCACACGCACACACACACACACACAGAAATATAAAGATACTTTTAGTACACAAATGCAGTGACAAACAAACGTATCTACTCCATTCAACAAAGACGTTCACTTCATAACGCACCGTGAACGAAAACACGATTAGTTCTCACGCGATCATGCGTCCGGCAGGATGGGAAGTTCTCGAAGAGCCGGCAGGTTGGCGTGTTCGGCGACCAGGCGAGGGATACGGGCATCCCGGCCGACATCTGGCGCTTCTACCTGCTCTACGTGCGGCCCGAGTCGCAAGACAGCTCGTTCAGCTGGACCGACTTTGCGACGAAGAACAACAGCGAGCTGCTCAACAACCTCGGCAACTTCTGCAACAGGTGAGAGCGCGCGGCGTCGTCACGGCGACGCTGGCAATGGCGAGCGCGGCATCGTCACGGGAACGCTGACAAACAACGCAAGCATGGAGCGCGCGTCGTCGCCACGGCGACGTTGACAAACAACACGCACGCATCATCGTTGCAGCGACGCACAAACAACGCGCGTGCGCGGCATTGTCACAGCGACGCTAACATACAACACGTGCGCGGCGTCGACCCATTGCAGAGATGCTGTCAAATTCCGCGCTCTTGTGTAGTGATGTGACGACAGTGAAGGACAGTCATAGGCAACATCTACACACTGCTCCTACATACACATCCCTTCCTTCTCTGACTACTGCATATGTAGCGTGTGCGCTACACAGGGTGTCATCATAAAAAATGGTGTGATTTTTCCATTGGCAGGGCATTGATGTTCTTGTACAACAGCTTCAAAGGCGTTGTGCAAGCAATGGTGTTAGAGCAGGAAGACAGGCAGCTACTGGCATTGGTAAACAGGGAGTTGACTGCCTACATCAACTTGCTAGAAAAGGCAAAGTGAGTGTATTCGTATGCTTTGATTTAATTCGTTAAATAAGTGACCGTCATCTTTGTCAATGCATCGTATACATCACTGCAATATGTCAAAAGCGGACACTTGAAAAAAACCACTAACAATATTATGTTGATAGGCTTCGGGATGCTATGCGAATCATCTTGAATGTGAGTCGTCATGGCAACCAGTATTTGCAGAGCTGCAAGCCATGGGTGCTAGTGAAGGGAAACGAACAAGAAAAGTGAGTAATGTTACATAGAAATCTTCTGAGATGACAGTATCAAGAGAAGAACGATACGATGATAAAGTTGACTCCTGTTACACAGTGAAAAAAATACACGGGGGCTCGGGGTGATTTAGCCCCCGAAATGCCAAAAAGAGCCCCCGTAAATTTTCATAGAGTTCACTGCAAACCAAATTTTAGAATGCTATTTTCATGCACGCGAGCTTGAAAAGTAGCCCCCGAAAAATAAATTTAATTTTTTTCCCTGCTGTTACATGTAATCGTTACACATGACAACAATTCATTCTCAAATAGTTGCACTGTGCATAAATTAGGGTAAAACATTGAGTTTTACATAATGTGGTTGATATAGATCATCAATGTATTTATTAGAGATCTCTGCTCGAACGTACACTCGGTCCCCCTGGTAAACTTTAGAGTTTTTTACAGTTTTAGATAACGTAATCGATATAGATCATCAAGGTATTTTTCAACGATTTCCACTTATTCCGCTTGATGAACTTCAGAGTTTAGTTAGTGTAGATCATCGAAATTTTGATCAGCGATCTCGGCTTAGACAGCTTGGTTAACTTTGGTTTGCAAGTTAGTGTTTAGTTAGAGTTTTAGATAACGTGATGGATATACGATCATTGAGGCACTCGTTAATTACTCGTTAATTACTCGTCAACGTTCTCCGCTCGGTCTGCTTTGCGCGGTCTCCATGACGACGATGCCTCCACGTGTTTCAGGGCGCGAGCGGGGACGGTGATCAGCGTCGGTGTCAACGTCAGCTGCCTGGTGTCGGTGATGCTGCAGCCGTTCATGCCCGGCGCGAGCGCCACGCTGCAGGCGCAGCTCTCCGCTCCCGCACACGTCGTCGGCACCCTCGCGACCCGCTTCGTCTGCCTGCTGCGCGCCGGTCACGTGATCGGCAAGCCGGCGCCGATGTTCGACAAGATTGAGCCGAGCAAGGCGGAGGAGCTGCGGGAGAAGTTTGCGGGGAGGCCGGCTCCCGCGAGACAGGTACGGGTGGCGGGGGCAGAATGTGGGGGTCGGCGA